AGTAAAGCACTATTTGAGCAATAGTGAAAATCAGACCTGAAAAAAATTTCAGGCCTGTACGGGACTCGAACCACTGACCTCTGCGATACTAGTGCAGCGCTCTACCAATTGAGCTAACAAGCCAACTGGGAGCAGGCCATCAAATTAATTCGATATAAACCCGTAGATGATAAATCAAACAACAACAAACATATGAAACATATGTGTGAACTGCGGTTATGAGACGTATGAGGTCAGTGGTTCGAGTCCCGTACAGGCCTGAAATTTTTTTCAGGTCTGATTTTCACTATTGCTCAAATAGTGCTTTACTGCGAAGGATCGTTCTCATATACGTCTCATAACCGCAGTTCACACATATGTTTCATATGTTTGTTGTTGTTTGATTTATCATCTACGGGTTTATATCGAATTAATTTGATGGCCTGCTCCCAGTTGGCTTGTTAGCTCAATTGGTAGAGCGCTGCACTAGTATCGCAGAGGTCAGTGGTTCGAGTCCCGTACAGGCCTGAAATTTTTTTCAGGTCTGATTTTCACTATTGCTCAAATAGTGCTTTACTGCGAAGGATCGTTCTCATATACGTCTCATAACCGCAGTTCACACATATGTTTCATATGTTTGTTGTTGTTTGATTTATCATCTACGGGTTTATATCGAATTAATTTGATGGCCTGCTCCCAGTTGGCTTGTTAGCTCAATTGGTAGAGCGCTGCACTAGTATCGCAGAGGTCAGTGGTTCGAATCCCGTACAGGCCTGAAATTTTTTTCAGGTCTGATTTTCACTATTGCTCAAATAGTGCTTTACTGCGAAGGATCGTTCTCATATACGTCTCATAACCGCAGTTCACACATATGTTTCATATGTTTGTTGTTGTTTGATTTATCATCTACGGGTTTATATCGAATTAATTTGATGGCCTGCTCCCAGTTGGCTTGTTAGCTCAATTGGTAGAGCGCTGCACTAGTATCGCAGAGGTCAGTGGTTCGAATCCCGTACAGGCCTGAAATTTTTTTCAGGTCTGATTTTCACTATTGCTCAAATAGTGCTTTACTGCGAAGGATCGTTCTCATATACGTCTCATAACCGCAGTTCACACATATGTTTTCATATGTTTGTTGTTGTTCGATTTATCATCTACGGGTTTATATCGAATTAATTTGATGGCCTGCTCCCAGTTGGCTTGTTAGCTCAATTGGTAGAGCGCTGCACTAGTATCGCAGAGGTCAGTGGTTCGATCCCGTACAGGCCTGAAATTTTTTTCAGGTCTGATTTTCACTATTGCTCAAATAGTGCTTTACTGCGAAGGATCGTTCTCATATACGTCTCATAACCGCAGTTCACACATATGTTTCATATGTTTGTTGTTGTTTGATTTATCATCTACGGGTTTATATCGAATTAATTTGATGGCCTGCTCCCAGTTGGCTTGTTAGCTCAATTGGTAGAGCGCTGCACTAGTATCGCAGAGGTCAGTGGTTCGAGTCCCGTACAGGCCTGAAATTTTTTTCAGGTCTGATTTTCACTATTGCTCAAATAGTGCTTTACTGCGAAGGATCGTTCTCATATACGTCTCATAACCGCAGTTCACACATATGTTTCATATGTTTGTTGTTGTTTGATTTATCATCTACGGGTTTATATCGAATTAATTTGATGGCTTGCTCCCAGTTGGCTTGTTAGCTCAATTGGTAGAGCGCTGCACTAGTATTGCAGAGGTCAGTGGTTCGAGTCCCGTACAGGCCTGAAATTTTTTTCAGGTCTGATTTTCACTATTGCTCAAATAGTGCTTTACTGCGAAGGATCGTTCTCATATACGTCTCATAACCGCAGTTCACACATATGTTTCATATGTTTGTTGTTGTTTGATTTATCATCTACGGGTTTATATCGAATTAATTTGATGGCCTGCTCCCAGTTGGCTTGTTAGCTCAATTGGTAGAGCGCTGCACTAGTATCGCAGAGGTCAGTGGTTCGAGTCCCGTACAGGCCTGAAATTTTTTTCAGGTCTGATTTTCACTATTGCTCAAATAGTGCTTTACTGCGAAGGATCGTTCTCATATACGTCTCATAACCGCAGTTCACACATATGTTTCATATGTTTGTTGTTGTTTGTATATAGTATGCCAGCGAACAAGTTTAGGGTTTTATGCTCGTGACTTGTGGCACCAGTCCCCTCCAAAGCTCCCAGGAATTCATCTTTCCTCTGTAGAAAAATAATACCGTCCTTCATTGCAAAATAAAATTATCATTTCTTTGCTAGTTGATTGTTGCATAAGTTGCTCTTTTTTCACACCATGAAAACCGCTGCAGAAAACAAAGTGTTCCCTATCTAAATATCATAATGTTACTTTCTTTTTACAATGTTTTATTGAAGAGCACTTTTTTGAATAAGATTGTTTCCACTCTTGTCTCAAATCTGCTTATAGTCAAAATCGGCGAGGCATGCTTACTGTATTATTGAACGAAAATTTTAGATGCGTGACGACAGTAGAATGAGCACTAAGTACTTCCTAGTTTATTTTGAATCAATAACAATACAATTTCTACGATCACCCACCCTTGGTGAGTTTCGCCGGCCAAACTTCCCAAGCTGGGACCTTCTACGCCACAGACTTAAGATGCAGGCTATACTAAAAGTATCAAGCGTCCACCACAGTGCGTCGGCAAGGCTATGTAATTCTATCTTTCAATTTAAATAAATTCCCAAAATTGGATAAAATAGTCTGTAAAGTCAGATTTTCTGATCGATGTTATCGGGCAAATCTTCTAACAAAAATACGAGGACAGTAGGGCTAAGGTTAGAAAACTTGCTTTAAGCTTTCCGCTTTGTCCAAACGAAACCGGTAAATTATCTAAGAAACGCGAATGCAACTTGCCGACTTTTTGTATACTACTAACATACGGGCAACGTTAGTTCACCACAAAGAAAATGCATGAATAATTTACTCTTGAGCGTTACTGCTTTTCCGAGAAATCGAGGAAACTGACGTCAGCTTGACCTTATACTCCTCTTACCAATGAGAAACGTTCAAACGCGATGATATTCGAGGCTTTTTTCGGAGAAACGGTAAAGTACCGCAGGGAAATTTCCCCTGGCGAGAAGACACTTTCCGTTTATGGGGAAATCAATTTTGGAAACTTTTAATTTCGATTGTGGAAGAAACGACACAGACTTTGTTACATGCGAGAGAGAGGGCAACAAAAATGGCCTACAAAGGTAAGAATGACATTCGTAAAATGTGTATGAAGAGATGATTTAGTGTGATCTTTCGCTATTCCGCATGTGTTTACTAGAAAGTCAATTTTTTTTAAATAACAGCCTGCCTCACAATTTATTACTTTTCTGGTAGCGAACTCGATTCGCTAAAGTATTGAACCCGACATATGTACCGCAAACGTGTAGCCAACTTGAACGTAGCGAACTCAACATGTAGCGAAACCGGTGTAAAACTATTCTCGTTGTCACTCGATTTAACTTTTGCTGAGGAACCGAGACCGCAAATACAATTTCCTGATAAAGTTTAAACTGAAGGATACAGTAGACCTCCGCCGGTGTCCTTAGCAAAATAAAATTTGACGAACTATTTAAAGTGTAACCACCATAAACTCTATATCGCGGGAAAGGTTATGAAATGCACTGTTCGGCAAATATTATTTCGTTTCAGCTTGATCTAATCGTATACCAAATGGGGCACGACAATCCAAAATGGACGATGTTTCTTTGAGTGAATTAATAGCAGATCCATTCTGACCGCACGATTAAAAACTTCTGCACAATTCCAAACCTGATAGGTCTTCAACTGAGCCGTGTAGGAATTTTTCGATATTCTTATCTGTCAAGTTTGCTGATCGAAATTCTACCGATTCGCATTACGTCGGACGCCATTCTAGGAAATCCAATTTGAAAAACGAAATTCCCTCACATGGTTTTACTGGTTGGTATCTTGGGAGTATTCGGAGGAAATTTCAAGGCAACCGTTTACATACGCTACTGATTCGTTCAAGGTACATTTGCGTAAAAAATAAATAGGTTTTTTTTCTTTCAAACTTCTCGCAACAACTCACGCCTTTGGGTGACCAAATGTCAAGTTATTTCAACACTCTTGTAAAAAAACACGAAATGCCGACCGCCATTAGGAGCACAGAAGCGTCCGGCACAGTCTCGAGAGACTTTCAGCCAAAACGTTTTTTGCGGGTAACTACCCAACGGTTGTTTCTAAAGATTTGTACATTGTACAGGTGGGAGAACAATAGGACACGTAGTCTCCTCCTAGGTTCATCCACCTAAACGCAACCTACCCATCCCACCCCAGGGGAGGACATCCATCACACAGTAATCTCGTGCGTGGGAAACGTCTCCTACCCCTCCTGCAGGAGACCGGCGGGACCTCCATTTATTCGTCCCTATCAGAGAAGACTAGAATATCTAACCATTTCTTGATGTTATAGAAGGGTAGCATATTCTTCCCAATTATCTTAAGACCTTGAGTATTGGTTCGGCCGGGGCTCGAACCCTCGACCTCCCGCAGAACAGTCCAGCGCTCTATCCATTGAGCTAACTGGGAGGCGGTTACCCGTGACAGACCTTTAGTTCAATTCTGCTAAACGGCAGTTTTGATTTCGACCCTTTTTTTTAACCTAAAAGCGAAGGACAAGGACAGATAGCAAAGATCGCGTACAACCGAAATCAGAAAATTTTAACGCGACAAGGGTGTTTCGCCGCATGAAAACCTTCGGTTGTCGAATATGTGAATTAGTTTTTCACACTCTGGCGAGCTAAAGAATTCAGTTCGAAAATATGTTTTCGTATTATAACTCGCGCGTTTTTCAATATTTTACCAAAATTTATCTTGGAAACTATAGTTAAAATAACAATGCTTGGTTTGAAATGAAAAGCAAATATCAGGAAAATTGGCCTTCTAAGGCCTTCCGTTTCATTAAACATGGTGGAAAAGCAATTCAAAATATCTCATCGCTTGGACGAGATATCACTCGTCACGAGTCTCTGGCTGAAGCGATATATCGAGATGTGCCACACCCCATGCGATATATCAACGACGTATAGTTGTAGCGATATATCGCCGGTACCATATTTCGCGATATAGTAGTACGTGGAGCACTCTGTTGGGCTCTCTGCAGAAGGGGTGAGACGAAGGTCAATAACCTCTTACACCTACTTCAGGGAATGATAACTCCTTGTACGTGCATGTGTGCACCATGTTCACGTGTGAACCGTGCATTGTGGTTTTATGTGCGTCGCTACATTTCTAACTGACTTGGCTTCAAAATTTTAGCGCTCAGGGTCGAAGTTTTAACACATTTGAGGACAACTTGAAAACTCCTTAGGCAGTCTTTCAAACGTCAAAACGCTGAGCGTCGTAGTTTCATATTTGAAATGTTTCTGGAGCCTACTTCTTCTTTAAATTGTGTGCAAAAGGTGGGCCAACCATACAAATTATCATATTTTATTTATCCATCACAGCATTGGAAGGTTCACTTCTCTATTCTCCGAAGCGTTCATATCTGGCAGTTGTTGCCATTGACCTCGGGACAACCTACAGTGGATTTGCTTTTTCATTTATCAAAGACAAAGGAAAGGATGCCGTCTTCATGAACAGAGACTGGGCGAATGAACAAGGTGCTCAAACAAGCAAAACCCCAACATGCCTTCTACTCAAATCAGATCTGGAGTTTGACTCCTTTGGTTATGAAGCAATAGAGAAGTATTCCAGTCTTCAAGATAAAAGGGAAGAGAACGAGTATCTATTTTTCAAACATTTCAAAATGGCCCTTCACAATGACGAGGTTAGTGATTTAACTTCATGTCAAACTATTTTGATTCGTTTATTTGCATGAAGAAATTAGGCGTCATCTAGTGAAAAATTTTTAGAAAATATAAGCTTTCGTCTTTTCTTCTGAAGCAATTAGGAGTGATAAAACTGAGAAGAAGTATCTATCATTATTAGAATTCAAATTTTTTCCTATGGACCCAGTTCATACTAAGCGTTATATCGAGTTATGGATGCTCGTGGGAAGTTTGGAGAGTAGGAAATAATAATAATTTTTCTCCCCTGCATTAACACCACACAAGTAGTGGTTTTAATATTTATGGTTCGAGATGATATATAACTTCTTAGAACTACCAGCAACCAAGTCATAGTGATTAATGCTATTACAAAATTCCTATACATGGTTTCCTTGAATACCCGTGCTACCTTTCAGACTTTGAATAGCAGGACTCCCATAAAGGCAGCAAATGGAAGATCCGTCCAAGCCAAGAGAGTGTTTGCACGTTCCATTAACTTCCTTAAAGATGAAGCTGTAAAAGTAATTCGTCAGAGAACCGGAGATGATCATTTCAACGCAGATGACATCCAGTGGGTTCTGACCGTTCCCGCCATATGGACCCCGAGAGCAAAGCAGTTTATGCGGGAGGCGGCTTATGAGGTCCTTTTCTATTATTTTACCCTTTTTTTAAAGTGCAAACGTTCAGACCTTAAGAAATAATCCTTCTCTGTGCATCCTTATGATTACTTGATGCTACTCTGGTTTAAAAATTTAGTGAACGTAACCGGAGAAATTACAATTCATCGACCCTTCGTTTCGACCTCTTGTTGCAGCGATCAGATCACCACTGATGAAGGCACTAGACAAGAGCGTCGAAACGTTGGGTCGATGAATTAAAATTTCCCCGGTTACATTCATTAAATCTTTAAACCAGAGTAGCATGAAACCATGTCTGATTGTTCACCTGGTTGCTGTGTGAACTTTAATATATCACATTTACTCGAGTTAGTTAGTTAGTAAAAGTTAGGCACAGATGAAATAAGGACTAAACTAATGGACTCTTGGACTATTTTTCAACTAGTTTTTGGACCATTGCCGACATGCCGACATGCCGACATGAGTTTTTTCCGACACTTCTAATCACTAGTTTGTCAACAGCCTCTTTTTGGAAGATTTCAGCTTTTAATTCTTTCAAATAAGTCACTGGATCGTAATAAAATGTTTTTTAGGTAACTGTCATGAAACACCAAGATGATAAAGTAAGATCGTAAATCTTACGATTTATTTACTACAGATGTAAATACGCACTTTGTAAATACAATGCTACGCTTCGATTAGCGCATATCGTCGAAATGCGCAAGTCACGGTTGTTGAAAACCAAGCAGTCACACCGGAGGCAAATGATCTATCAGGGACAAATGCATAAATGACGTCATCATTAACAAAAGTTTTTTTTACTATCATAAGAAACAAAAAGATTCCCAGGTTGCCGTGGGTCTGTTGGTAACAGATCACAGAAGACGTTAAAATGTTGTAATAACATCTGTGACGCAATCGGCTGCGCTTCGTGTGCTACCTTTTTGTTCTTCCACAGTTTGAAGTCATATATTTCTGAACAGACACGGGGCAACATATTTGTTAAATCAAAGATATTGCATTATTTCCCATGCATATCCAATTCTTTTTCGCTCTAAAAGGCTGGCGTGGGATCAGCAGAAAAAGCCGATCAGCTAATGATTGCTTTGGAACCAGAAGCAGCAGCAATTTTCTGTAAGGAGAAAAATTTGAATGACTTTCAAGAAGAAGCTGGTGACAGATGTTTGGATGGAGTGCTATCCCAAATCAACACACATTACATCGTTGTTGATATTGGGGGTAAGTTACGTTTTGTTCAGATAATCCTCATTAAACGTATTGCTCCACAGAGGAGCTCGTGGAGCAAGCACACCCTTGTTCCATACCAATAAGCCGAAAATGTTTTGTCATTCGTCACTACATGTCCGTCGTTCCATACAAGAAACCATATTTAGTATAGTAGAAATTAATTAATGGTTGATTTCGTTATTTGTTTCAATAACAAGCCCTTCTTTTGAGGAATCGACCCTCAATAGTAACTGCAAATAACGGCTGCAAATGAGAAGACTGCTCAACTTCGGAAATTGATATCGTTTGCTTAATCGATGAATGGCGGGATACAGAACGCTGTGGCGGTAAGAATGGTTGTAGGTTTAATCGTAACAGCAGTATTAATAGAAATGGAATAAAAGAAGAGGAGCTGTGGTACTAGATAAAAGGTATCCACGAGTTATTAGAATACTTTTTCAGATGAGCTGATACTTTCACACTTCCTTATTAGGTGGAACACTTGATGTAACAGTGCATGAGTTTCAAGATGATGGTAAAATAAAAGAGATCTACAAGGTCACCGGAGGTCCTTATGGTGGAATGTACGTAAACCAACGTTTCGAAAGTCTTTTGGATGAGCTGTTTGGTACCCAAATGCTTCAAAGCTACCGAAAGCAATTTCCTTCTGATTGGCTCTGCTTAATGAGTGAATTCGAAGGAAAAAACGCGGAAAACGTATCCTTGACAGCAGTTTGATGACAAATATCCGATTACCGAGAAGCTTTGTGTCCCAGATAATACAAAGCAGAGAGGCAAGAATCGACCGCTATGGAGAGAGAGAGGTAAAGATTAAAAGTAATGAGTATCTTTCCTTAAGCTCTGCTATGATGAGAAAACTATTTGCCCCTGTTGTGGAAAGCATCAAAGAACATTTGAATAACCTGTTACGAAAGCCACAGCTCTCAAAAGTGCAAACAATGCTCCTTGTTGGTGGCTTTGCTGAGTCAGTTTTCCTCCAAGAGGAAATAAAGAAGACGTTCTCTGGAAGGTGCAGAATCCTTGTCCCCCACCATGCCAGCGTTGCAGTAGCCCAGGGTGCCGTAATCTTTGGCAAGAAACCCACTACAATAACTGAAAGGGTGATCAGTACTACGTATGGTATTCGTTGTGTTCTCAGTTTTATAGCGGGCGTCCATCCTGAAGAGAAGAAAAAACTCATAGATGGCACTGAGTGGTGCAAGGATGTATTTGATCGTATTGTAAAGGAAAATAAAGTTATAAAACTTGGACAGAGAATCAAAAAAATATATCATCCTCCAACTCCTAACACAACAAGTGTCTTAATTGCCTTCCACGTATCGACTGATCCAGAAACAAAGTTTGTCACTGATCCCGGCGTAACCCAGATTGGAAACATTAGCATTCAAACCCCTGTCACCTCGAAAGGCACAGACCGAGATATTGAAGTCAGCATGTACTTCGGTGGAACAGAAATAACCGCCACAGCGTGTGACGTCTCAAGTGGAAACAAAGCACAAACCACTCTGGACTTTTTCTGTCAGTGATGAAGACTTCTAGATGGAGAATTTTGAAAAACATCACTTTTAAGTGATGTTTTTTAAAAAACTAGCAAAACAGAACAAATTCGTGTTACGCTGCACAGTTTTAGTCTCCTTGTAAATGCCATTCTTGATTCTCCCGTTGGTTGAAATGAAAGACAAGCATACTACAAGCAAACAGAACTGTAAAATAGAGAGTTTTGTCAAGGTTATTGCCTCTTTAAGATATTTGTATATCTATCGGAATTAGTAGTCTTTTTACATTCTAAAGTGAATTGTTATTCTCGAACCAGTAAGGGTTGATTTTTAAAATTAGATTGTGCCCAGTAGTTGAATAAAGAAATATGTTATTCACTGTGTTTCAAACGTGGGATAAAAAAATCTTAGTCTTCCCGAGGAATCGAGCCGGGATCTGTGTTCCATAGTTCTACCACTGAGCTACGGAGAACTCTATCGTGGGCTAAGCCACCACCGAGCTAGGCCTTTATTAAAACTCACAATTTGCCATATTTCTTATATTATTTCCTCGCACAACACCTGCCGATCCTAGTTATGGCCTAGCTCACCACAGAACTCTCAGTTGCTCTATCGTTATGTATATAATGATAGGGGAGTAGAGGATCCGCATCATTCTTATGAAGGTCCCCTGAGGTATTCACTCATGAGACAGTGCAAAAGATCAGTGAAATTTATTTCCTTCAGTCCCTTGTGGTAACTTCCACTTTATAACTGATGATAACTATGAAGAGTTCATTTAAAGATGGATTTCATTTCTCTTAGCTTGTGTAACTCATTGTATACCGGTGTTATCGCATTCTAGTATATATATGGATTAATTAAAAAACACTACTTTCCAATTAAAAAACACTCCTCCCTAGCAGACGCTTGTTACTGCGTTATGACAATAGTACTTCCCCTTTCCTGATAACTTTTCCATCGCAGTCTACCAAAGCAGGCCACAAATAGCACATGATATTGCGTGTCTCTGAATACACTGCTCGACGAGACGGGCTCCTTTCTTCGGAGGGACTAAACGCTTGACTCACTTCGTGGACCTTTGAGTCATAACCAGTTGTCTTGCAGTCAATCTTCAGGGGAGGAACCTGTGTTACAGCACACCATGCAAACTGCGTGCAATATTTAATATAGCCATTCAGTCTATACAAGAGATCCGAGTCGTATTCAAGAAGAAAAGATCCTCTTTGTAACTGTTGGCGAGACCATTTTTCAGAAATGGATCTTTTCACATCCTGCAAATGGACGCAACGAACAAACGAAATTATAGCTTCAAGAGGAATTTTTTAAATAGAGTTTAGAAGGACCTTACCGCCTTATCGTTCAGAAACAAGCAAATGACAAGACAAATAGTATTTCACCACGAGATAAAAAAAAATTTAAATCTAACATCCAACTCCAACGTTTACTAATAAAAGGCGAGATCAGACGTAAACCAAAGTTTTATCCTTAACCAGATAAATCAAGAGTTTCCAATTATCATTTTCCACTTTCCACGATATTTGATAAGACTTTATACAGTGATTGGTATGTTCTTTACTTATTCTGATAAATGTGCTGTGAATTTCATTTGGTTAGGGTGAGTTAAAGAAGAGGTGAGGAGATTATAACGTTTTGATATACAAGTTTGTATTAAAAAGAAACTTTGATCATTGTTGACATATAGATGGAGGAGGGTAAAGAAAAGGAGCGGGCCTAAGTTTGCTTCAGCACCACCCAAAACTAATTTAAGAACGCGTGGAGTGAATCTACCTGAACAACTGAATCCAAATCGTGTGTCTTCGCTTTTTCTTTGACGAGGATCATCAACTCGCTGACCGCATCCTGAGTTGCATGCACATCGCTTTTTGTGTTATTATACTGCGTCTTCCAAAGCTATCCAGTGAAAAATGTAATTCATAAACCATTGTAAAACTGAAGTGATAATCTTCTGGTATCTATGTTACCGATGTAACTGTCTTTTATATTAGGTAAAGTTTTCCTTCAAAAATACTGCACGCAATTTTTTAAGTTTCTTAAGAAGAGCAAAGGTTGAAAAATTGCCATTCTGCAGCTTTTAGAAGCTTCCGCCACGAGATTGGCAAAGCCGCGATGGACAAGATTCTCACCCGCCTCATTTCGTTTGGAAGAAGAATGTAAAGAGTGCTGTCCACTTCCAAAACTTTTCGTTCTGCTAAAATAAGCCAATCAGAGTTCGTTGCAATATAAAAAATATTATTTTTTAGGCGAAAGGCGAAGCTTGATTAACACAACTTGAATACAAAGAAACAAAGCATGACTACAAAGAAATCCTAATTACTAATTAGTATGGCTTATTTTGGTGCGCTGAGAGTACGGATCTTCATGTATTAAGAAGCTTGGAGCATTTACTATCAAAAAGCCTAAAAAATCCAGGCGCTATTCTATTTAAATAAACAGGATTTACATGTTAATCATACTCCTCGGTGGTTGGAGAGAGGCACAGGATGCGTGAGGGGTCTAGGACAAGAACAGACCACAGCGGCCCAACTTTTATCCGAAGTTGTTGTAAATGTGTATCTAAGCCTCAGGATCCACTAAAATTAGGAAGGCGTACTTTTTATTAAGGAAGATATGGTATATTACCCTAACTTTTTCACCCCACCACGACAATTAATAACTCTTACAAAACTTACTTTGTTTTGAAATGATGTGGAATCTGACCCTAACGCAGGAGCCTCAGCGGCCAAGGTTTCCATTACACTGGATGTGAATTTGACAAATGACTCTTTCACCTTTACAACAACTTCATAGGCTACCTAGATTCAGAGAGGGCATTTTCAGCTCTGCTGTTTACGACTTAAACTAAAAGCTTGCTGTACCTTCTATGGGCTATTCTAAGGTCAAATGAATAAAAGGGCAAGTTTTTAAAGAAACTATAGTGCTACTTCGGTAGAGGGTATGACAAGTCAATTTCGTTTTATCAACTACGTCGATACTGTTAATTGGCCGCCCTAAAGAGTTTTAAAGCTGACGTTTTGAGTGAATAATAAGTTCGTCAGAGTGAATAATCTTCAGGTCAGCCTCTTATTTTTCCTTTTTTCATTGGCCCTCATAGTTTCTTTCTTGGAGTTAGATAAACATAGCAGGACATAAGTAGAGGCCAGCACCTCAAATATGAAGCAGGCGAATCTACAACACTTAAGGTATTCCATTGAAGTACTGTTATTTCCCCTTCGACGTCCAGATTTACTTGTCATGACGTCAATCGCATCGACACGTGTGCCGTCCTTGAATTCAATGACGTAATCGCTCTCTAGCTGAGACTGTCTGTTGGTACTCAATGTGTTCTCAGTTCTTCTCTGATCAGACCTAACTCTTCTTTCCGAGACAGCAGCATGCCTATCAAAAATTAAAAATATTCGAGAGGCTAAATAAATTACTCCAACTTCAACACAATCAGTTCCAAAACCAAAAAAATGACGACTAAGTCATCCTGATACTTTATTTAAAGCCTCGTTTAATTTGGAAACGTTCATTTTTAAATTGAATTTAATTTATTGACCATTTAGAATGCTTTTGTTACTTTCCTAAAAATAAACTGATAATTTCTGACAGTTATCGGTGGACCTTGTTACATGGTTTGGGTAGAAGTAGCGTGACTCCTTGAAAACGTTGGCGCATGAATGACTGGAACAAATATGATGTCCTCGTTAATTATAATACAGTGATTCATTAATTACTACCGTGAGTTCAGGGAAACTAAGAGAACTAAGTGATTGAATGCAAAGTCTTTGTTGCTTGATGCCTTGGAATAAACGTTTAAGATGAAATAAACAGCTATTACCAATACCTTTCTTTAAATCTGTCAAGTTCTCGGCGATATCCTTCGGAGACTTGTCTAGCTTTCATAATTTGCTGCTCATAATTAAACCTTCGATAGGAAACAAAAATGAAGCAGAGCAAAAAGTATTTAAAAAAAAATGTATAGATGTATTCAGGTTTTGCAAAGCAGTATATCGAGTTACGTTCTATTGCAAAACCTTTCTTAGCCACCCAAGCTGTACTGTAACTTCTGTATTTCTCAGACAACGTGAGAAAAACATAATTGACGCGAGTCGTGAAATACTGCAGCACGCAGGCTTCACAAGCAAATTAGGAATCCAACAGGTCAAGCTCCTAGCCTTGATCACAAATGTCAATAACCTCATCTCCCTTAATTCCTCCTTTCGTTTTGATATAAGGCTAATACCCACCAAAAACACAGCTGAGTAAACAATAATAGTTTTCATAATTAGAGTCGAGGTTAACACTCACTTTTGAGAGTCTCTAGAATATCTGTGACTGACACTGCTTCTCTCCTGTAAGAGGCGCTCGTATTCTTTCAATTTTTTCCTCAAATCCTGGTTCTCCTGAGAGCTACGGAATAGGGATCGTGAAGGATTGCATCAGATTAATAATGTTATGTTAAAAGACTCTTCTGCAAAAAAAAATTTTAACTTTCTGTTAAGTTTTCTTTCATAAGCAATCCAAACCGGAAAAAATTTGGCCTTAGTATTTTAAACCTTAGTATATTAAACCTTGGGTATTTCAAAGCTCCGAGATAACTTCTGTTTGTGTACATGTACGGTCTGAGTAGACCGCGCTACTTCACATGATTAGAGGTTAACACTCACTTTTGAGAGTCTCTAGAATATCTGTGACTGAAACTGCTTCTCTCCTGTAGAAAGCACTCATATTCTTTTAACTTTTTCCTCAAATCCTGGTTCTCCTTTGAGCTGCGGAATAGGGATCGTAAAGGATTGCTTCAGGTTAACAATGTTATGTTAAATAGCTTTTCTGAAAATTAATCGAATTTACCTCAGCTTTTCCGTCATAAGCGATCCAAAACGGAAACATTTTGGCCTGAGTTATATGAGCAAACGCTGGGTGTTCTAAAGTTCAGCGATACCGCGATAACTTCTGTATGTGCACATGTAGCAGCCAGAAGCATAACTAAGTTTGAGACTATTCTTGCTTCACACGACCGTATTCTTTAGTGAGCAAGAGAAACATAAATGTTGGTCACGATAATTATACTTGTGGTAAATGGTGAAAGGATGAAACTACATTAGATCATAAGCATCATTATTATATAGCTGGTGGCACCCACGGGCAAGATGAAGCGAATCCTGTGTTCTGATTGGTTCCTGAACCCATCTTGCCCGCCCAGGATTGCCCGCTTTGATCCCGCGAAAGAAAGAAGGGCGTGGAGCGGACTTACAACCTTCGTAGCTTTCAGGCAACCCTTTAGTAACCAAGCGTTCTTTTATGCGTTTTTATGGACTTCGACTTCGTCTCGAAGCAAAAAAAACGCAAAGAACTCGGGCAGCATCCAGCCATCTTGACCTCATGCTAGGTCTAATTACGCATACGTATCATATAATTAATTTCAAAACAATAAAAAATTCAGGAGGGATAAAACATCAAATGAGATATTGCTGATGACAAAATGCAGTACCTTTGATTGAGATTCTTATTCAACTCATCGTTGTTTTTCTGTAGAGTTTCCGTGTTAGCCTGAAGTTGCTGCTCAAATCTTTTCCGTTCCTCTGAAAACCTATTACATTGGGAAACGACAGGTCAAGATTAACTACTAGCAGGAACTAATTGCAGTAGCCACATGCAGGATCTCTGCTTGAACGAGTTTCTAAAAAAATATTATGTAAAAAAGCCTTTGTCAGGGAAATGAATTTAGTTCACATGAACCCGTGACGTTGATACTTAAAACACTCTGCTGGATGGTGTGTGCACGTGTTAAAACTCATTTCTGTATTGAATGCATTTTAAAGAACCTTTCTTTGTATTTTCTTCTAAGCTCCTTTTCTTTGGCTTCCAGTCGATCTTGCAACCATTTCTCACTAATGGTTGCCTGGCTAGGCGAATCTACCCTGTGAAATAAAAATAATGAATTCTTCCATTACATACATCTAAAATTTCCATCTGCACCCTCTCCACCCTCCCAAGAACCTGATTTCAAACCCTTGAGTAATTGCCCCACAAACACAGTGCTGTTTTCTTTTTTATACACATCACAGGGACAAATGCACTTACATAAATCCAAGCAAATGACACGAAACGGCGGAATTTCGTTTATTTGCTTATGGCGTCTACTCGAGTCAAGATCAAAGTTATTCATTCGAAAATGTAGTGTTTAATCACGGTTTTATCAAGTTATGAGTATAAGTAAAAAGCTGCTTCCAAATCATACCCTGCATCGGCTAAAGGGACGTAAAGAATCGATATTCAGAGGTTATTTCGCCCACTGTTTACCTTGAGCGCGACGCTTTCGCTTCCTTCAGTCTCTCGTTCTCACTTTGGAGTCGTTTGAGCTCCTCTGGAAGCTTTATTAAATTCTGGATGAAATCTTCGTTGGTAGCGAGTGATTCCACGTCATTCGTGAACTCCAGTGATTCTCTCCGAGTTCCATACGATGTCTTTGTCTGCCTCCTTCTCAGTTCGCTCATATTATTATCCCAAAGGTACAAATTTAACGAGATGTTCCTTGAAAAAAATTGCTTCCGCTCCTTCTAGTTCTCTTTCGCAGAAAACCGGAAGTTGTCACGCTTGTAAATGTAGTCGCATTTTCTTCTCCCAATCGCAAGGTGACACAATCTCTAAAATTTCATTCAAGTTTGCCTTGTTGAAAGCTCGGGTTCAGTGAGTATGAAAATGAATTTTGTGAGAAAAAAACGGCAGAGAGAGAGAAAAAAACAGTCAAATGTAAACAATCAAACTAGATTCACAAATATCTAAATTGCGTAACCCCCTATTTTTTCGAAAGACACATTTTTCGACCCTCTATTGGTCAGTTTGATTTCCGGGAAATTTCTCCCCGATTTTGACGAGATAACATTGAATTTGTGCGATCGCAGATAATTTGCTTCCTCTTTCAAAGGAGAAGTCTTTTTTCAAGGGATATATCGGAACGCTATGGCCTTATCTCTGACAGGCAACTTAAACTTCAGTATTAATTAAAGGCTGATAGTTTCGAAAGAAACTGTTTGGGGCTGCGTCGGTGGGAGTAACGAAATAATTTGGATATATCAACAAAGTTGAAATATGGTAAATTGGCCACCGTTATGGTTACAAAAGCTGACGTTTCGAGCGAAGGGCTAACGCTCGAAACGTCAGCTTTTGTAATCATTACGGTGGCCAATTTACCATTTCAACTTTGTTGATATATCCAAATTATTCAGTATTAATTGACCGTTTGGTCAGTTTGGGGTTTTGGTGACATAGCAACAAGACATAACTCTCTGTGCTTATACTTAATTGTGTCCACTCGCGATCGTTCAGAATACACAAAATACTGTTCTTAAGACCACTGGTCATAAAGCCACTGATCTTGCAATAATCGCTGACAGTGATCGACGAAAACTATTAATTCATTGTAAAGCTGTCATGCATTACTATACGTAGACGATCCTATTCTCGCCTTGCAATTTTGTCACAAGCTCGGTGTCAACAGTCACAGCATTCAGCTACTTTCGCTTTGTTATAGATACGGCTGTAGAAGAAAACAGCCTCTAAAGCAGATTTAAAAAACCAATTGCGAGATTATGTACTTACCTACCTTTGATAAAAAAAAAAGGTAGTCTTAATCAATCATATTTAATTTCCGTCGGGCAAGTTTGCGGCCGTGTTATCATCAAACACTTTGTAAGGCATAACAACAATCAGATCTAAAAGTGCGCATGCCCAAGTCATGTTCTAGTGGTATTTGCCTAATATCTTGGTTTCCTGGTTCTCATCTCAAGTTTCAAAGCGCTAAGCTTCATCTCCTTTATAATTTGCATATTATCTGCTCTAAGATGTTATATATACAAGGCTAAAAGATTAGGAAGAAATTATTAAAATGTTTAAACCAAACGTTTTCGGCTGTTTGCCATCATCAGGGTTGCCATCCAACCCTGATAATGGCAAACAGCCGAAAACGTTTGGTTTAAACATTTTAATAATTTTTTCCTAATCTTCTAGCCTTGTATATATAATATCTTTTATTAAGCGAACATAGTGGATATCTGCTCTAAGTTTGTGTGAAAAGACAAACCAAAAATTTAGGATGCAATAAGCTTTCCTTTGCTTGGTTTATGGAGACTTATTGTGCGTTACCTTTCGCAAACAATCAGCCGTGCACGTCAAAATATTTTCATTACTTATCAATGGTAATGCTACAAGGAAAAAAAAGGCAAGAGCCATCATGGTACAAAAGAGGACTCAGCACAAGCCAAATGAAAGGATAACGAGAGACTTTAGGCAGGGCTAAATCATAAAACGAAGCACTTATCCAAAAATATAAAGTCATGCTGACATTATTATATACTTAGTTCAAGAGATTTACATACCTACACATTGTAACTCCCAACTTGGGCTTTTCGGTTACAATGTCTAACCACAATATTTAAGATACATATACCGGTAACTTTAAAGAGGAGAGAGTTACAAGCAACTGAAGCGTCATCTCTACATGTTTCACTGAAGAACTCCAAATTATTTCTGAAGGAGAGTGATAATAGAAAACAATTCGGTGCTGGAATAAGGTGTACAAGCACCGAAAATTCCAGTGCGTCCTACTCACAATGCGGGCTCGGATAATCACTTACTAGCCAGTAACTATGTTACTGTTTTCGAGGGTGACGCTTCCGCTTCTCTTCCCAGTCTGCTGATTTCACTGTGGAAGCGAATAAGTTCATCTGGAAGCTTTCGTAGTTTTTGAATAAACTCTGAGTCCTTAGCGAGTGATTGCTAATGACTCGTTCCTTCAAGAGACTCTGGTCGACGTCCAGACCTAGAACTTGTTGGTTTGCTGTACATTCCTGCGATGCTTTTTTTCCAGAAGAGTGAAGCCGATGGTTATAAATATCCAAGGTATTTCCGGAAAAATGGCTTCCGCTTTCTCTTTTTCTCTTTCGCGGAAAACCGGAAGCTGTCATGCGCTTCGATCTCTCTCCACATCAGCGCACAACACAAAGGTGACAAACTTAAAACTAAAAATTCATCGTTGGTGAAAGGTCGTTATCAGTGGGTAGACGTAATTGGGTTTTGAGAGTCAACACCATTTAGTAACAAAAAATTGAAAAAGAAACAACTGCCAATTTGTGGTTAATAAATAATGTTGACCTAGATGTAAATCAAGTCGCCCGCTATTGTCTTGAAAGTAACGCATCGTCATTTGACTTTTCATTGGTCAGATTGTTCGACGGGAAATTTCCCTTTAAAGTTGATAAGAAGAACACAGTTCAATAGCAACCACAAGCACAGATTTGATGCACAATCATTTGAAGTGTTCTCTTTCCCTTTTAGGAAGATTTCGGGAACGGTATGACCTTCTCTTTAACAGGTAAAATTGACTTCGGCATACATCATTTGGTTTATAAGGTTTGGGTGACGAAGCAACAAAATATGCCATTGTTTATTTGCGATGGGTCAGAATATACATGATGAATGATTTGATTTTAAAGCCAAAAGTTCCTGTGAAAACAGAAATCATGAGCTATATGTAGTTTACAGCATAACTGTTTTATGGGGTGTCTCTGAACTTTATTTACGCTTGGCAGCATTTCCAGCCCTATCGTTTGTAGTTCGCCATCTTTGACTTGTTACAGGAAGCGAAGCTGTTAAGGGAATTGAATAGAAGACAGCTTCTCAAGAAATTTTCCTTCAGTAACTTGTGTTGCTATAAAGTATTTAGTAGACAGCTTCCTCCTTCCATCATTTCATAGCTTTTGAACAATTGATTTTGGCGTTTCAACCTGACATGTTTGTCAGTAGTATTCTGATTTCGTTTAGCTAATTTGCATCCTTGTTTGTGTCAATCATTTCTTAAGGCACCACTGTGAATGAATACAGCCAAATGGCTGCGGTTACCCTGTGAGGCTGCAGTTTCTTACATTGTGTTTTAAGTCAGAAAATGAAATGCTTACGCAGAGTTAAAGAAATATCACTTGATTGTACGGGCGATTAGTATTTAATTCAGGAGCATTCTCAAAACTCAGGTGGACTTCTGAGAAAAGGGGGGGGGACTGAAAATTATGTGGTTTCAAAACGGGGTCTCTGAAGTCTTTAACTAATGTTAAGGGGTACTTGAAAGAGAAGTAATGCACTCAGCAGCTAAAAACGTGCGATTGGCTAGTAAAGTTTGGTGCGTTTCAACATCGGTAGTATTGAATAAATACACATAGATCAGTATTATTTATCAGTATATACCACACAAGTGAATAGTGCTTTTCGCGCGCGATGATTAGCTCGTTCAGGGGTGAATAGCAAGTCTTGTTTACTTCCCCTTCGGTGAATAACTATTAACAATCTCTTTGAGTCACAATATTGAACCTTTATGGCAGCTTTTACAATCCAGTTATCATTATTTCTTTCGTAATAAAATTGCCATTGACTAGTGTAACTAGAGATAGTCGATGTTGCAACAAAACAAGTGCCTTTACTTGATTAACCCACGACGCTTTCATTAGTATTTTTTTCGCTTAATTATACAATGTTTACATGGTTACATTAGCTAAATTAATTACATTGTTAACGCCACAATCGTACTAACAATATTGCTATTACTTACAGCATTAATATATCATTTATTATCTTTTAATGTTATACTATCTTACGTTACAATACTTTCCATTATGTTATAACACATAGCTATATACTCGATCATAGATAATTTCAATATCTCCTCTACTTTAGAAAATTAATGACAGAGGAACAAACAAAACAAAAAGCACGGACTTTGGATAATGATTAATGAAAGGATGGGCATGAACGTTTTGTATGATTTCATAGTTCAGGGTTCCACTTGCAGGAAAATTTTTACAATGGTTTTATCATACTTTTCTTTTTACAACCAGTCGCAGACTTTTATAACAGGTTTATTAAAGTTAAATTTTAACATCTTATTCAATTATAAAAAGTATTCATGTGACAAAAACTATTATGGAGCTCTCGGCTTGGTATTGTAATTAATCATTGGAAGATTATTTTGTTTAGGTAAACATGGTCCTTAGGCTGAGATGTCCATTGTCTGCATATTATCATCCTTCAAGTTGTTCGATTTTCTACCTAAGTTAGATTAATAGTTATAAAACTGAGTCTGTGTTGATATGACGCTGCGGGCTGGGTAGCATATCGGAGTGCGTGAGGCTATGAGTTCAAATACTACGGTTCATAACATCTTTTGCTTTGCTTGTTTGTTTGTTTTGTTTATTTTTTTGTTACTGTTGTTGTTATTGTTTTTCTCCTTCTCATTAATGGATATGTTTATGTGTAAAAAAAATATAGGAAAAGACATTATTTGCCTTTCCGATACTTGTGTTAAAAAATCACCTGGAGCAAATTAATCCTTCAAGAATTCATGCAGCACGTCGTTCGATTTCGAACTCAAAATATGCCAGCCTTTGTCGAGCCCTAAGGTACCAGTAGTGTCAGACAGGATTGCAAAGGAAAGATGGCTTTCCCATGCAATCGAAACGAGGAGGAAGAAACTTGAAGTCTTTCCCTTAGAATCGTAGCATAAAAGTGCGCCTTGTACGCGTCATGGTGTTGCGTTCGGGTCAATCACTGACAATTAAGGTGCTACTTCGGTTGAACAGCATTGATTTAGTTAAAGAGTGAGAAGTTCAAGCTAAAATTCAATAAGAAAAATTGCCTCTGAAGTAGATCACTTCGTGGATAAAACTTTTTGCAACTTGGGCGCATGCGACTGTCAACGCTATCAACGCTGGTCAGCGGATTTAGAAAAAAGTTAACAGGAATCGAAGGAACGAAGGAAGGAAGGAAGGAGCGCCGTGTTCCATCCATACCAAATTCTGATTGATGACTATGTGACTATCCTAGTTAAAAACTATTATTTTGGAAATTTTCAGTTTTTATTAAAGTTATCTTTTTCCCCTGATTTTATGGCTCTCGTTTTGTTCTATCCATATTAAAAAAAAGAAACAGAGACAGCAACCATGCTAGTATTACCAGAAAACAGGAATTAACATAAAACACTAAGAATTAACTGCTTGTAGTGCAGCTTTTGCTCAAACCACTTAAACCATAGTTGAATGTTTAAAAGGAAAGCAACTGGAAAGATCCATTATTACGATGATCCTATGAATGAAATTGGAGATGAAGAGGAGTCAGGAGAATATTGAGAGGTTTCACTTGCCAGTTAAGTTCCAAAAAAAATACAGCAATGGAAAGAAACGAAAAATGGAGTGTGTACTGGGTTCTACTGACATGTAAAAGTAGAAAAAAGGCCACGGAACCGCTTTGTCGATTGGATAAGAGGGCTTGCCAAATTCCAGCTAATTGTGGAAAGACTGTCTCAAATCGTTTACCTTGACTTGTACATATCAGTATAAGGGAAACTTGACATCTGTTGCCCCTCCCACTTTCTATAATTGATAAATGCTCCCTTAATGCTGAAGAAGAAAAAATAACACACTGCAGAATGGCTTTCACCTATTTGATTGTTTGGAAACTATGCTAAACCACCAACAACAACTGTCTTTGTGCTTAGTTTTGGTTTCCGCATCAAGTAGGGGTTATTGGGACAATCCGAACCATGATGTATGAAAGCCAGGCGTATTCCGTACCGTCAGTTTACCAATCGAAGAAAGCAGTTATCTTTCAGCTTGTAAAGAAGCAGCTTCGAATAAAGGTTTCCCTAGGTTAGTTATCAAGGCAGCTCAGCTCAATTTTAATTGAACTATATCTTATGTTTGTGTCGTTTTTCTCTTAACAGATCTTGGCACCTCGCTTCTACATCTTGAAAAGTCCTTCCTTGCTACGGTAGCAATAGACTTTGGCACAACCTACAGTGGTTTTGCTTTCTCATTCAACAAAGATGAAGGTAAAGACATGATTTTTATGAACAGAGCCTGGGTGAATGATCAGGGCCATCAAACAAGCAAGACCCCTACATGTCTGCTTCTTAAACCAGACTTGTCATTTCACTCTTTTGGATACGAAGCAGAAGAAAATTACGCAAGTCTGACGAGCATCTCAGAGGAAAAAGAATACATGTTTTTCCGGAATTTTAAAATGCTTTTACATAATGATGAGGTAAGAAATCTGATGAATTTAAGGATTAGTACGTATATGTAAGAGTAAGACAATTTCATTTTAGTTACGATCGATAATGTGCCCTTTTGTTCTTTATTGTTACCATTACTATTACTATTAGTATGAGCGCGGATCTTCGCAGTTATGAACACTACTTAAGCAGTAGTGAAAGTAAGACCTGAAAATTAGCTTGTTAGCTGAGTTGGTAGAACACTGCACCGGTATCGCAGAGGTCATGGGTTCGAATCCCGTACAGGCCTGAATTTTATTCAGGTCTTATTTTCACTACTGCTTAAGTAGTGTTCACAACTGCGAAGATCGCTCTCATACTAATTTCTTTAACCGCAGTTCACATATATTCACAAACGATTACNTTGATTATGAAGGACCAATCATTGAGGGATGACAGCTTATCCTGTGCGAAAAATGCATAGTGTAATGACTCATTTGACAAAATTTGAACTAATTAGTCTAAGAATGATGATTCCCTTAAAAACCTTACTCGTTTTTAAGAGGGTGGGAATTAATTTCCAAGGTTACTTTGCTCAGAGACTTTATCTGGTTTAATAAACATTCCAACAAATAAGTGTACCACTGCAAGCAGGTACATGTACACTTTTTGTGCAAAAAGAATGGTTTGGAGACCAAATACCAAACAGCAGAGATATTAACATAACATAACATAACATCAACTTTATTTCAACACGATAAGTGTTTAAAGCTTCGCGCTTATGGGGTCGTGCATTTAAACTAGTCCTAAAACTAATATCTATTACTAACTTACATACAAAATAAAAGTAAGATTACTAATAGTTAATAATTATAAAAATTTGTACAATATATGTGATATAATCTGCATAAGATATCATTAAAAATAAAAATAGTCTTGATCACAAAATTAACTGTTGAGGCAGATGTTACCTTAAAATGAAAATCTTTAAATTTAACGATCTTACTTAATCTTGAATCTATGCTCTTTCGTGTAGCATGAACAATGTCTGCATTCCTAGACGTAATTGTATTCTAAAAAACAACCCCTCTATAAGTTACTGAACGTTCTAAATAGTTCTAATAGTTCTAATAGTTCTAATAGAGTGATGAAGCTAACTGCAGCTATCGCAAGATAAACGCTTATATTTCGGTTTAGATGGGGTACTATTCCAATAAAGGTTAGACTCGGCATAATGATATAGTATTGGACAAATGTGAAAAACATAATCCCAAAGTAATTATTTCATGCAATTTATTTCATGTTTTCTCCCGTGGTCACACTAGAGTCTGAATCTTAACACCAAGATAGCCGCAGCAAATGGAAAACTCTTGCATGCAAAGCAAGTGTTTGTTCATTCTATCCGGTTTCTCAAAGAACAAGCGCTCAACATCATTCGACAAGAGACACATGATGATGGATTTAGAATGGAGGATATCCAGTGGGTCCTGACTGTACCAGCCATATGGAGTCCAAGAGCGAAGCAGTTTATGCGTCAAGCAGCCTATGAGGTATACAATGTTATGAGATTAAATCATCCATGTGCTAAGTGAGTGGGACTGTGGGTATGTATGTTCAATTGTGTAGCAAAGGTAAGGGAACATCCAGCGGTTAATATAATTGGGAATTATTCAGGCTTACCCTGAGAAAAAGTTGCCAACCAGCAAGCCTTTAAAAATCGGCCAGACCACTATTAATGCCTTTAAAGAATCCCTGCTGACATAGCAATTGCTTTTTGTCATAATTTTAACGATCTTTTATTTTAGGATTTAATAGCTCTTATTGTATGACAAGTTGTAGTATTAGTTTTAAGTTTTAGCATTGCTGTTGGTATATAGTATTGGAATATTAGTATTAGCATAAGCTGTATAATTGTATTAATTAGTGGAAATAGTGCTCGTTTTAGATTTCTTATGAATGATTATTTGTATATTTAAGTTACACACGGCTCGATGGAAGAGCATATTTTATATGAAATTGATACCGTGTATAAATAAAGCTTATGTATGTATGTATGTATGTATGTATGTATGTATGTATGTATCGGTTTTACCGAAGGAGTTAATATATATTGGACGGTAATAACGAAGTAATTGTTTAATAATATCTAATCGCAAAGTGATGACAAAGTGGATGACCTGTCACCAACAAATCTTTTCGCCCTCACGAAGTCGATTTGAGTCACTCGGTTACCTTGTGCTTGCATATAAGTATGTTATCATTTTTAAAGAATCAAGAAAAGAGTAAAGAATAAATAACCTGTGTTACCTATCTTTCCATAGGCTGGCATTGGATCATCAGACAATCCAGAGCAGTTGAGAATTGCTTTAGAACCTGAAGCTGCGGCACTGTTCTGCACAGAAAAACTCCTGGAGAGGATCGGTGCCGGGTCGGTTGAAAGGCAGCTCTCCCAACCCAATGTACACTATATGGTTGTCGATATTGGAGGTGAGGCTTTTTCTGAGAAAGAATTTTCCTAGCCTATGCAGTTTAAAGAATAATCCTGGAAAACCTTTTCAGGAGTTTTTGAATAGTTATCAAATTAGAGCTTTGTTCATAGTGTTGACAAAATGTGTAATTTCAAAACCAAGCTCGACAGTTTCGTTACAGAGGTCTATTTCGCCAAACATTGCTTTTACTTTCGACCTTTGTCTCAAAATCTATACAAAAGTTATGCGAAGAATACAAATGATTTCAACAGTCCCTCACAGCTAAGCGTTGTAACAGCTGGTTGAGTTATCAACGCTAACTGCATGAAAGACACTTAAATGCAATTGGATTTGATGTTTTACATACGAACCTTCCCTTCACCTTAAAAATAACTCTTTTTAGGCGGTACCCTTGATGTGACAGTGCATGAAAAACAGGACGATGGTACCATTAAGGAGATCCACAAAGTAACAGGTGGACCTTATGGGGGCTTGAAAGTGAATAAGCAGTTTATGAGCCTTTTGGACCAAATATTTGGTCAGCAGAAAATGTATGATTATCGCCACCAATTTCCTTCTGATTGGCTAAAACTCATGAACGATTTTGAAATAAAGAAGCGTGGGGTTCGAGTCGTTCAGCAGAAAGAGACAAGAATTCGCCTGCCACGTAGTTTTGTCTCCTGGATCAATGATGCTGTTACAGCAGCTCTTAAACGCTATGCAAATGGTGAAATCAGAATCCTTAACGACGAGTACCTGTGCTTGAGTTCTAACCTTATGGTGAAGCAGTTTCAGCCAGTGTTGGAAGCCATGAAGGATCACTTAAGGGTGCTCCTCAGCGAGCCACGGCTTTCGAAAGTCTCCGTAATGCTACTGGTTGGAGGATTCGCGAGTTCTCTGATTCTTCAGGAGGAAATCACGAAAGAGTTTTCCAGAAGGTGT